ATTATAGGTAAGAAATGAAGGTGTGATACACAGTGGGTCTTCAAGAAAAAGCATCCCTTAAGTCAGCTGCACTTAAGTGGGTGCTTGTAATTAAGCATGCTCTGAAATGTTAGCCTAGGAGGTGATGAATGGGGAGCTACCTAGCAACTGACTGGAAAATAAGAGGTGAGTTCCTCCTATCTTGCTGTTCTGACAGCAAGTGACTCACAGGAGAAGGGAAACAGCAGTAAAATTCTTAACAGCCCCTCACTTCAATATCTCAACTGTCACAAATATATATTGTATTTGCAATTGGTGAGATATGAAGTACTTCTTTATTCCTAGATATATTTATCAGAACAACTTCTAGATTTATTTCACTTAAAGAATGGCAATAGATACCCATGGATTCAATTAGTCTCTGAATATTTCTGTTTCTCAGTACAGTTGTTTATTTGTTATCAGAACAGATCTGCATTTAGAGCTTTATTTAAGCAATCAGACAGACTTCATGTTATCAAATACAAACCTTTTATCCCTTATCTCCATTACCACTATTATGGAAAAATCAAGAATTTTCCTGTTCCGTGATGTCATTTGAAGTGCAGAGAACAGCTTTACTGTACAGCAGGGACAGGGGCAGAATGAACCATTAGGTTCTGAGGGCAATTGATTATAATTAACATAAATTTACATCTATTCTGCCATTTTGCCCTATACAATAAAAACGGGCAAACACAGAACTAAATTTTATTTCCATCAGCAAACTTAGCTATTGCTGGTAAGCATTTTGAATGCTGTGCAAATTAAAAGGGCACTGCTGGGAAATATCACAATTCCCCTAACTTTTTAAGATCACAGCTTGGGAGCATAAGGTTTTGGTAGGTGCACTGTTAAAAATATTCATAATTAAAGATAACTGCTTAAGAACACCCTGAAGCTTCATTACGCTTGAGTGGACTTAGGGACAATTAGAAACCTGCCTGTTTATGGAAAGGACAAGAATATTTTCTCAAATGAGCATTAAGAAAGCACAGACAACCCACTGGACAGCTCAGGAATACTTCTGGGAACAAAACCCAACCCACAGCTGACATCCAGAGAATAGGAGCTGTAGTTCAGGCTAATTAAGTGAGAGGAAGAATGTTTAGTGAGCTCTGGATGCAGAGTTCAGGTACAAGTTGAAAATACCCCCCTGTCCATCACACAAGTTCCCTTCCCCATGTGCTGGGTCTGGGAAGTTTGCCCAGGCTGCAGCTCCCACAGAGGAAATTTCATTCTCAGCACTGTCCATGGGACAGCTTTTAAAAGCACCAAGCAGATTGAAAACATGCTGAAAATGTCAAATGCCCTGCAAAGAACAGGAGAAAGGAATTAAATTATTACACAGCATCCAGGTCACTGTGAGCTGAGCTGACAGCTAGGCGCATTTTTTTATTTCCTACATAAGTTAGAAAGCTTTATAAAGCCTTTTTTTTTCTTTAATTAATGTTTTGACTTTTAGGAACATGGAAAAAATTAGTATCCTATATTCCATGAAGAAGAATATAGGATACATATGCATAGGATTTTTTTTTTTTATTATTACCATAAGCTTACAAGAGATGCTGCTGACCTTTAGGCAGTGGAAAACCAAGCACTTACCACAGAGACAGGAGGGTACACATTTCCTGCTGCAGGCTTAGCCCAGCATCCCTCAGACAGTGGCTCTCAGGGCAAGCATTGAGCTCAGTTGTGCTGAGGACAGCACTGCCAAAGGAAAACACATGGCAAGGTTTTCCTCCCACAGGTGAGGGCAGAGGTAAGAACTGCCATTGCTGCACCCATCACTCACCTGCCACACAAAGTCCCATTCCCCCTGCCAGCTGAAATACTCCATGGGGCTGTATCAGTCACCCTTAGAGGGCTCTGGAGCATCCGGTCACACAACTTTTAATGGTCTCAAAGCTACAAGGAGACCAACAATGGTCTCTCTAACCCAAAGGCAATAACAGACTCCATTTGTCCAAGGGAACGAAAAACTAGGCCAAAATTTATCTCTGGGCCAAAGCCATTCCCTTTGGCTCCTGGTATTTTTGTGAAAAAAATGAAGGACGGGAAGCACGAAAGGGAGACAGCCACAACCTCATTAATGGGGATAACTTTTGAAATCATGAGAAAAGGAGTCACAAAACACAGTCACAGCTGTTTCAGATGTAAGGTACAACCATCTCAACTGCTGAAAACAGCCTTCATTTTCTCTTTGTTTTCTTCATTGCAGAGTATGCTCAGCTTCTCTTTGCATGACAGTGCAGGCACCTGAACCCTCCAAAAGAATCCTGACAACGTGACCTTATCCAACACCTCAAGGCTGCTCAGGGGTCTCTGTTTTTGGCATTAGCATACAGTGAGATTTAGAGATAGGAAATGGGAGGTTTGTTTCAAAATACTTTTTCCAGCACAGTAAAGACCAGGTTTCTGGGTTTCACCCTAGATGAGTACCATTTGCAACAGACTTGGAAAAAAAAAAGAAATGAACAGGAAGAATAGGAACTATCTGACTGTATCGTCTTTTGACACACTGTCCCAACACAGGTGGGTATAAATCAGACTGTTCCCCAATATACTGTTTCTTGATTAGCACAAGTAATGTGATTTGGCAGGTCTAATTTGAACAAACTACTTTGATGTGCCTCTAAGAGAAAGAAGAATATGAGGGAATTGTGCTAAATGTTTTTTTTTCAGAAATTTACTTTTCCTTGGAAAAATATCAGTGAGGACACTTACTTAGCTCTCAAGTCAATGCTTTCCTCTGTTCATTTATACACAAACCAAAATATATCTGCATAAGGGAGTTCAAAGAGATCTGCTGAAGCTGAGCAGGTTGGAAGAGTACCCATTCTCTCTTTAGAAGCCATACCTGTAAAATTTTCAACAGCTGTACAGCTGATTGAAAGACTAGAGAAAGGAGGGGAAATTATATGAAAAATTCATGAGAAGGCCTCCAGAGCACAGCATGGGTTTGAAATGTCAACATTCAAAATACCAACCAAACCAAGCCGAGGCAGGAAACCAGAGGGCAGTGGAGAAAAACTCCCAAATGAGCTGATTCATCCCAAGACTGTGCAGCAAACCACCAAAGCAGAGAAGCTGCTCACCAGTCTACTCAAAGGAATGCAGTGCAACCCTCTGCTCCCATCTGTCCCCATATAAAAAGGAAGGGAATAAAGCATGCAGGAAACTTCTGCAAAATTGGAGATTCTTTACTAACTGAGTTAACATCCTGTTCAAGTCTGTAAAATGTTAAAGCTGCTGATGTTATTTTTCTCAAAGTGCTTTTTCACAGCAGAGAAAACAGAGACACTTGCAGTTCATACTGCTAACCTCTTAGTCAGGATATAAAACAACTTTCCACCGTTAATGTGAATGCTTTTAACCTCTTCAGGTAAAGAGAAATATATTCCTAGTAAGCAAAGTTGCACCCTGAACTTCAGCTGTGATACCCAGATTTACTTCCACCTCTCAGAGAGAGAAAGGTTCTTCCCTCTGCTCTCCAGGATACCTGTCTGGTCTCAGCTCCTACATCTGAGGAGCTCCCAGTCTAGGACACTTTGGGACACAAGTGCATTGCCCATAAGAAGTTGGGTTTGGATCTCTTCATGTATTGCAACCTCAGAAGTAATCAGCTTTCTACAGAAAATGGATTCAGAAGTCGATGTGGCTTTCAGTAACACTGAAAGACATACCGACATTTAAGAGCATACCCTTAATTTCTACCTTTCTTATTTATTAAAAAATGTGCCTATGCCCTCCCTGACCCTAAAAAATATTAAGGCCCCTTGAAAACACAGCAACTTTTGGGGGCACTGACAGCTTTAGCAAGGAGGTAATGGGTCAGAAGAGTGAAGGACATGCAGGTCAGGGAAGATGTAGACTGGTAGGGCAGGGCAAGGAATTCCTATGCTGGGGCTGAAGGCATCACCTCAGCCATAATGTACAGCAGCTGGAGCATTGTACCAGCTGGAGCTGATGATCTCCTTGTCACTCCCCTCTCCTCCAAGTGAGAAGTTCTCTTGCTCATACTCACTTGTGCATTCTCCCCTTGTACCTTCACTGACACAAACTCATGTTCTTACACTATTTTAAGTCAGTAATAAGGTCTTCCTTATTACTGTATATTTGTAGTTCTACATCATACACAGATCAGTACTTTATCATGCACTCTGTGTTTTGATACCATTTTATAGTGCCACTGTGTATAACAAACTTTGTGTGATCCTTCCTTGCCAGTTTTGACTCACAAAGGCTTGGCTCCGAAACGAGGTCCATAAAATAGATGTAGTAGGCTTGTTGAAACAAATAACAAAACAGCCAAAAGCCTTCCCCAGAGAAAGGCCAGCAGAAGACAAAGGTAGAAATATTTATGCAGTCACTAAGGGGCATTGGAAATGTGTTCTGAATAAACACTCATCTTCAGTATGCAAGTACCATTGCCTTTGCTGTCTCCCAAAGATCAGCGAGAATGGAAATCAATGATGCTGCCTTGTTAGAAAACACAAATCAAAGCATCAGTGACTTTGTAAAATCCCTTCTGTCACTTTGACCTTCTAGTGCCAGGCAGCTCCACAGATTCATTACTGTTCATTGTAATGTCTAAAGAAAAAAATCAGCAGCACAACAGTATTTGAGAGGAACACACAAGCAGCAGGAATCAGAAAAACAGCTAGGAAATGGAGTATACAAAAAGAAATGAGAATCCCATGAAAGGATGCTCACACTGCCTTAAGGGCTGCATCCTCTCTTCTGATTTATACAAGTCAATTCTGTTGTTGTCCAGCTGTATCTACTGTTTCCTGTTGAGAGCCTGGTTCTCTCCTTGCCCAGTCAGTCATGTCAGGAGCTATGGCTACAGTTCCTACAGCTGCACCTTCTCCAGGGACACCAGCAGGGTTAAACATCATAGATATGGAGGGCAGCACCAGACCAGCCCTCTCTTTGAGTGTCTCCTGTAAGAAAGCAGTGGGATGGGGGGTAGTACTAACCTGAGTCTCCAAGCTGGTGTAGGGACTAGGAGGTTCCATCTACAAAGAGAGCAGACAGAAACAGCCATTACTCTGGAATAGTGGAAAGGAAGGTGTTCTGAGCTGTTACTGGTCCAAAGTAGTGATATTAGGAACAAAATACACTTGCTTGAACAAGGATGGCAGGGGTTTTTTGTTTTGTTTTAAGGGTTACCACTTTTCCAGACATCTGGAAATTGCAAAGAAATTACAGAATCTCTACAATATTTGGATGAGCAAAAAAAAGTGGAAGTAACAGGAGTATACCAAAAACATATTAGAGAACAACTCAAGGCCACATGCAGGCCCTTGCATCTTTGATTTAATCCTCTTTTACATTTCTTTCTTAGATTACAATTGACTGGTTTTAGACGAGATTAATATTTGACTGGTGCTCTCTTGTAATTTCAAGGCATTATAACCTTTTCAGAAAGTTGATCAGGATTTGATGATGAAAGGATTGGCCACATCCCTGGCAAAATTTTTCCTCCCAACAGCTCCAGTTAGCTGTGGTTATTTTGTTTTCCATTAATATTTTATCTTGATGAATGTCTCTCTCCAGCTCTGCTCATTATAATGCAAATGCACTGTGCACTTTCTGCAGTCTGGCATCTTCCTTGGTGTCAAAATCTGAACTCTTAACTTAGCTTGGCCAGAGGATTCAAACCTCATTAAGGAGCTTCTAAACACAAAAGCACAAAAATTGTCTATTTAGCTTGTTAATTAAAAGGTTAGAAAGAGATAACAGCCCTATAGGAGACTCCAACATTAGTGTTCCAGAATTAGCACACAAGCAAAATCTTTTAAAATCTTTTAAAGAAACATCTTTTAAAGGATAAGGGACATTTAAAACCTCAGTCCTGCTGGTCCAGGACCTCTGCAAGGTCTGGTTTCTACATCCTGTTTAATTGGAAAGCCTAACAGAGTGGAAGCAGGTCAGTGGTGCTTCCTCTTAAATCCATCACATCTGTCTAAACTTCTAGTTTAGTAAATTCTTGTCTATCAGATTATCAGGCTCCTGAGATTAATTTTTAGTTTTGAGTCATTGTGATTCTCACTCTGGCTAAATCACAGAACAGAATGAAAAAAACTGGCTTTCTTCCAAGAAACTATATATTCCTTTTACTTTTAATTATGCCTATAAAGCAGCTTTTTAAAAAATAATCAACATAAGTATACTAATGAAAAACCAAGCTATTAAACCAGGAAAAAAAAAATTTAAGGAGGAAACTGGCCTTGAAACCTTTGATACACATTTCCTCCACTCAGCAAGTTATGAACCAGGGACCACAGTGTGCCCAGGTGCAAAAGTCCACGATTACCTGTTACCCTGCTAACTTACAACAAGTTGTGAAAGATTACACTTAACACCAGAGGACCATTATGACACAGATGTAGTAGATATTATTTGACAGTTGGCCAAATGGTATCAAGACTGGAAGGAAATCCAATGAAAAAAATCCCAATATCATGTCATCAGCTAAGCTTGGAGGGGGGGAATTATATGAAGGTGAGAGTGGAGGTGAGAGGACTCTCATCCTTGGGTGACCTTACTCCAAAACAAACGATGGCAGCACTCACAGCTCTTCTCTACCAGACCTGGCAGGGACAAACTCATCTGTTTTGCAGCTGGACTCTAAGCAATGGTAGTTTGGTCACAACATTGTCCTACACGGTCCCACTCAGATTTCTATCGTAGCAGGAAGATCACAATACTGGCAGGTGTGCATGTCAGATAGAATACAAAACATGTTTAAATAAAAAGCAAAATACTACTGTTACAAAGAACAGCCCAGCTGCACAGGCTCCCCTTTGGGAGATCATCTGGATTTTCTCAGTCGGTGCCAATTTGATTGCAGACAAAAGCTTTTTCAACATGTACTGTTCACTTCCAGCTGACAATATTTCTATAAGAGGAAGTAGCTACTGTATGTATAAAACATCCTGGAAAGATTAGGGGATTCCTGCAAAAGATAAGGCTTCAGACTATTTAAAAGCCAGGCAAACAAAGTCCAATACTTGCTGAACAGAAAAGATTTCTTATGGTAATTTCTAATTTCAAAAGCTTTCCAGACTGAAGAAAGTTGTAAATACAAACCATGTTTTGAATGGCATTATTTCCCCATTGTGATCACCATGGATCAGCATGGGCCTATCAAGCTGCTTTTCTGTTTCACTCATGCAGTTACAGGTACCACACTCAGGACAGCTCTCAGAGCCACAACTGCAGAGAATGCATCCCAATTCTCCTCTTTAAGCAAGGCAATAAGGAAGCTGGGAAGGGTGAAGGAGGGAGGACATAAACATAGTCAAATTCAGTTTTCAACTGCAAAAAATAGTTTTAAAATTCAAGCTAAATGTCAGCAACCTAGAAGAAAGACTCTCACTCTTACTGTAGGAAAGAGGCACGTTATTAAAATCATCTGCCTATCACCAGTGCCAAATAAATGTCCCATTTGGGTAAATCCCAGCATTCTCCTCCAGCTCATGTGCATGGCCTGATGCACATCTTGATGGTTATGGATGACAATGTGCACAGGAACAGCCCACATGTGAGGGATGAAGGTACACACTTTTAAGGCACAACCTCTGTGCTTTGTCCAACCTGCCTGCCCTCATTGATTATTAACTGCTAATGAAGAGTCTGAGTCAAAGACCAAAGTTATCACTCGTTCACGTTTACACATGGAAACGCTTAGGAACAAAGAGCAGAACAAGTGGCACCACTCTGTGCCAAGTTTTGCTTGGTTTGAATATGTTCCACTTAAGTTCTACCAGTTTTCAGCAGTCTGACACAGTACCACAAGAGTTGTGATACTTAAACCCTGGGGATGTCAGCAATCGTCCCCTCTGAAATTTCAGACTGCCATTTTTCAAGTGCTATGAATCATTAATCTCCAGTGCTTGTGAGCAAATGAAATCTGTAGTGGAACTGGAGTGTGAACAGTATGACAGTGCTGTATTAACAGCACAACACATTAATTACCTTTAAAGATCGATCAGGATAAGACTCTGTTTACTACTGAAAGGTGACACTGAGAACAGCAGCTCTGCTCTGGGGTTTGGTTACTGTGTGTTTCATAAAGTGTTAATGTCTCACTCCCATACAAGAAAGAGACAAATGTTTTCACAGACATTGCAACCTTCCCAAAACAAAACTAAAGGATAGGAAGACTCAGAGGAACTCAGGTACAGATGAATAAACCAACTACTCCTAAGTCATATGAGAAATATGAGAGGAACCTCAGGACCTTGACCACAAGATATGGTTTTCTAGCACACTTTCAAGAGACATCAGGTTTTAATATGGTAACTCAATCTATGCCTCAATCTAATCACACATGATCTAAGCCTGACTGCAGGAAAGCCCAGTGCTTAGACTCAGCAGAGTGCTGTTGGCTGCACTGGACCTGTTCCTGCAGACAAACCTGCTCCCCGCCCCTTCCATCACTTCAGGACTGAGCCCGTTTAGTTCCCCTGCAGCTCTGTTCAGCTTTGACGAGCGTGGCAGGAATGTGAAAAGCTTTTTTATACTTGATGAGCTATTTTCTCTCAGTTTCTACTCACTTCTCTGGGTGCCTGGTGGCAGCACTGATCGCTGTGTGCCTTGGCACAGGGCAGTGGCCCCCCAGCAGTATCAGTCACAGATGCCCTCACTGCAGAACTGCAGCATCACACTGCAGCAGTTTTTCCACCTTTTGTGCAGCTGGACCCTGAGACACACAGGGGAACCAAACCAGCTTCAAAAGTTCTTTTTTAGTTTTATTTATTTGTTTTGTGTCGCTTTACAATTGAATCAGTTCTTTCACTCAGCTCGTGACACAAGGCAAAGAGAGCTGTGCTGGCACAGCAGAGAGGTGGCCAGCAAAGCCAGGAGGGGGAGGATACGAAGGAAGAACCAGCAGTTAGGGACAGGGTAAGAAGGCAAGAAGCAGTAACAAATGCCAACATCACCACCAAATACTTCTTCCCACGAAACCACAGTTTCAGACAAAACACAAAACATTCCCCTAAAAGTGATATTTTACACCTCCTCTCCAATTGCTCTGTTGCCTGCAAGGCAGGACCACATAACAGCAGCTCCCTGTGTGGGCAGGGCTGTTTTTACAATTTGCAGTTGAGGGTTACAGCTATCCCAGGGCACTGTGGCTTCGTCTCTTCTGCTGACTCATTTTATGACCCAGGGGGTTGTTAGCCTGCCAGCCTGTGGTTTTTATCCTACACTCAAATTTGGCTCTAAACCTGTGTATATTCACAGAAACAAAAAAAACCCAAAAAACCAAAACAAAACCAACAGGACTGGAAGGGACTGCCTGGACTGCCACTTCCCCATCTTTCTGCCACCTCTCCACTAGTGAGGGGGAACACAAGTCAGGTAACCTCCCACGCATGGTAAGGATGGTGGCAGCACGAGTGCCCTGGAGCAGCACCCGGGGCACCAGTGCATGCAGTTCCCCTGCAGACATGTCCCTGCAACAAAACCCAGCATCTTATTCCAGGAAGTGTTCAGTAACCTTAATGGTACCCCTTAGACACAAGTCACACTAACAGCTGCCTCTACACCACCAGCTATCTCACACACGCTGACTTATGTGGGGAAGAGTGACTTCCTGGCAGTGCTCCTGTGAGCTGGGTGAGCCTGGACAGGAGCTGCTGGGCAGGGGACAGGAAGCTCTGAAGTCACTCAAAAAATGCTCTTGCAGATCTGATTTTTACCACACTGCCCACCATCAGAAGCTGCACCAACACTTGTGAAGGGTGAGCATTTCCAGGGTGGTCTGCCTGGCACTAGGACAATTTTTTGTTGTTGTGTCTTGGGATAACTTCAAAAGCTCCATAATAATGTTTGCACAAAGAGGAGAAGATAGAAAGGACTTGCTAGTACTAATGTACCCAAGCACCTCACTGTAACTGCTCTGCAAAGGATCCTTTCAAGAAAAGACACCAATTCCATAGAATTATCAGCTTGTCATGATAGGTCACATAAATCATAATTTTATTATTTCTGCTAGCCATCTTAA